ATATGTGGTTGATAAAAAGAGAGGAAAAAAATGAATTATAATTTTATTGGGGCCAAACGGTGGCTTAAGGGATTTGATGGTACATAATTGTATCATTCCTAGTATAAGAGATTTCTTTGTAAATTTACCACATTTAGAAGCTGTGATTCTTTTATTTAAAGGGAAGCAAAACCTCAATTGAGGCATTCGAAACAAATCATATTATTGACAATATATACTATGATCATTTCTTATTTATTTATTGACATGAGCTGTATCTGTAACTGTAATGACATTTCCCCCCCTATAAATTCTCTCTTTTCATTTCAACTGTCTCTGCTTTCCCTTTATGCTTCACCCTTGCCCCTTTGTAAACTTTATTTGCACTGTACTTGTCTTTCAAAATTAAATCAGTGCAAGTTTTTCAGAGCCTGTTTGGTATGGATTTTGATTTTATACAGTAAATCAATTTTTATTTTCAGCCACACATTCTTCAATAAAATAATATTTTTCATCACATCAATATTTTTTTCTTCTTTTTCAACCACACATTTCCCATCATATCACTATTCAAAAATCAATTCTTCCCCCAAAAATCTCTACCAAACACACTCTCAATTTGCTTTTAACATCTCCAATNTCAGTCAAGGAAGTTTTTCTGACACTTTCCAGTTACTACACAATGATTAAATGTCTTGTCCTTGATGATTAAGGCCCTGTTTGGGAGGAATTATAATTTTCTACAGTAAATCAATTCTCATTTTCAACCACATTCTTCAATAAAATAATATTTTCCATCACATCAATAATTTTTTCTTCTTTTTCAACCACACATTTCCCATCATATCACTATTCAAAATCAATTCGTCCCCCAAAAATCTCTTAAGTGCATGTTTAATAAAAAGTATCGGACTTGACTTGAAAGTACTTATATGAGCAAAATTTTAGGTTCTTTTTTCTAGCTTGTACTATCTAGTGTTTAATTGGAAGCTTCTGAAACAAAAGAAGTTATCCTTGTCTGTAAAGCAATTACATTACCACACAAAATACTTTCCCTCCTAGTGTTTCCTTTACCCCTCAAGTTTAGTATCCATTCCTGGCTCCATTAAAAAAATATCAGTACAAAAACATATTTCCTTTCTGTATTCGTAATTAGAAGAGAGTTGAGGGAGAGAGAAATGAGAGAGGATTGGGAATCGACAGTGAGAGAGAAAATGAAAGCAGATTGGGGACCAGCTGTGGTTGCAGTGGCATTGTTCATCATCTTGTCGCCGGGGCTGCTAATCCAGTTTCCAGCAAGGAGGAGGATGGTAGAATTCGGCAACATGTACACAAGTGGGATTTCCGTCCTACTTCATGCAGTTTTGTTCTTTTGTATTTACACCATCTTGATCATTGCCATTGGAGTTCACATACATCCTACTTAATTTTATGCCATTGAATTTTCTTCCCTTGGCATGTCATGAAATTCTATACGATTGATTTTCATAGTTTAGTTTATATGAAGATGTACAACTTTCCATTACTTGTAATTTAATGGGCTTGGACTGCTCAAGTGTTATAGGTCACTTTTACATGATCATGAGCAGAAAATTGATGTATGTTTTCTGTTATTCACTTTCTTGTTTCGCTATAGCTATAGATTTTGGCCTGATGTGCATCTTCCAGTTCTCATGTTGAGTTATTTGTCTCCAGACAAGATAGAAACTATGAAATCATTAATCATGGATGAAGCATGCTTCCACTTTAATATTTTTTACTTGTGTGACATTTTCCCACCGCTTTGCCTTTGTGCTTCAACCTTGTCCCTTTGTATACTTGTATTCTATCAGAAGTATTTTAATCTGTAGAAGTTTCAATTGCCTTCTAAATTCTCCGACTATACATCCAAGTGCTGCATACTTAAATCTTAAGTTCATAGATTTTCAAGTGCGTGCTTGATAAGCATTATTGAGACCATGTTTGATGGTCATTATTGTGCAAAAATGATATTTTGAATTGTGAATTTTGGAAAATAAGTGATTAAAAAGTGGGGAAAAGTTTTGGATTCACTTTCAAAATATTTTATTGTGTGAATATGTGATTAAAAATAAGTATGAGAAATAAATTATTTTGTTTTAAACAAAGTCAAATCGGGGGCTAAGATTGTTGAACATGACTGAAGTGTCCACTCCTCTCAATTAAACAAGCCAAAATAGCCTCGGTAGAAAAGGGGGTAGGGCCAGTCATATATATTCAATCACTGGAAGCTTATGATACAAAAGTTGAACTGTCCGTATCCGTAAAGCAATTCCATTGCCACAAAATACTTTCCCTCCTACTCTCTCCTTCCACTCAAGTTTAGTATCCATTCCTAGCAACGCCTTCTCCATTAAGAAATATCAATACTAAACATACTCCAATTAACAATCATTTCTAGATGCAGAAAGTGAACGGTGGTGGTGATGGTGGTGGTGGTGGCAGTGGAGGTGTTCATCCTCGTCGCCGGGGCTGCTCTGCCAGTTTCCTGCAAGGACGAGGATGGTTAAATTCGATAACTGTACAGTAGCAGGATGTTCATATTACTTCACGCAGTTTTGTTCTTTTGAAATGACACCATCTTGATCATAGCTGTTGGAGTTCACATAAATGCTGATTGCTGCCTAATACACCTTCGTGTAATATAAAATCCAACTGTACATACCCATTGTCTGGTTTGTATTCTTCTTTTTCGGCTTCCTTAGCAGGGTACCCAAAAGTCCCGAATCGAGAACCGATGGGTTTTAATCAAGCGGTTTTTCATAAGTTAAATACTCGAATCGAGAACCGATGGGTTTGGGTCGAGTCTCGGGTCCAGACCAAGAATCGAATAACCGAATAAGAACCAAAACAAAATAATTTTTTTTTATATTGAATTAATTAAATTGTTTTATTTTTTTTAAATAAATTAGCAAATTAATTAAATAAAACTTTTGGTTGCGGCTTATATTGGACAACTAGTTATTTATATGTTTTTGAATTGGGCTACATTAATTTGTAAAAGTTACGAATGAAATGTCATTAGTTATATTTATGTAGTGCTGCTGTAAATATTAAAAAAATTAATTATGGTACGAAACCGATCCGAACCCGAAGCCCTATTCCTTAGTACAAACATACATTTATAGATTTGTAATTTTACGCCACTGAATTTACTTCCCTTCGCATGTCATGAAATTCTGTAGGGTTGATTTTCTTGGTTATTACATGGAGACGTTTAACTTTCGTTATTTGCTTTGGATGTTAATATTAATGCTGATGCATGCCTGGAGTGGCAGAAGCTGAAGCTAAGGTGAAAATACATCAACAAAACTACTTAATTATTTTTGCTGATGATTCCTCCATGAATACAATTCTTTAAAAGTAGTCCTACTAAGAAATATTGGGAACTATTCTAAACAAACACAATTTTAGACAATAGAAAAATCAGAGCCACTTCGATTCATATTAAGGTCGAGTTTGACATGATTTTTAAAAAGTTACTTTCAAGTCTTTTTAGTTAAATTTTTGAAAGAATTTTGTCTCATTAGAAAACTAGCATAAGGTCGACTTCATCATGGAACTCTTTTGGTAAAAATGTTATTCCAAGCAGACACTGAAGGATGTCTCCCTCAAAATCTAAGAATTAGCCTTCCTTTTTCCTTGCATGGATAGCTCTTGGCACTCCTTGCTCGTGGAACTGCCAGAAATTTAGTTAATTAAGCAGCATTTCCGAATCTAAACTGCACGTAATGAGGCAAATTATCTTACAATTTTACAAGCAAAGGTATGGTATATTTCCGGTGAAGGCATACAAGTCCCATTCAAGAAAATCAGTGGTCGAATGAAAAGAAAACTTGTCAAGGTAATGTTGACAAAAGAGCAAGATGTGCACATTCGAGGAAATATAACACAACGTTGAGTAAACTAGACTTGATCTAAGGGCCTGTTTGATAGCCCTTTATTTTCCATGGAAGTTGGAATTGAAATTTCGTTTCCTACTTTTGTCGTGTTTGATGGCACTTTTTTTTTCTGGAATTGGTTTTCCACCTTTTTCTAGGTACAATCATTTGATGCACAAAAACTTGATTTTGTTTTCTCACCTATTTGGTGGGAAAACATTTTCCACCATTTTTTTTTTTTTTTTGCTTTTTTTTTTGTTACAATGTGAACAAATTCTAGATATAATGGTAAAAAAAAATTTCACTTTTATTGACAACTTCTATGCAAAACAAAGTCAAACGAATTATATTCGATATGGTAAATTTTTATTTTTTTTGTTTTTCAATTATTTTTTTTACAATTGGAACAAATTTTAGACCCAATGGTAGAAAAAATTATCACTTTAATGGACAAATTCCATAAAAAACGAAGTTAAATGGACACAAAACTTTCTACATTTTCTATAGAAAATTTTACCAATCAAACACAATTAATTACAATTCTTAGTAAAACATTTTTTAGGAAAATCAATTCCCTGTAAAACATTTTTTTTCCACCCATTTTCCAACTTTGCAATCAAACGGACCCTGATAGCACAATATTAAAGGACTAAAAATAAAATTTTATTTGTCGAACGCACCCTTCATGGTTGCTAGTCTGTAGAAATTTATGCCTGTTACAGGACGGGGTTTCAAGGAGTTGAGGTGAAGTTCAGATAACATGTGAAGACGTATAGCAGGTTTAGCTCTCCTTTCCCCCAAAGTTCACTTTAACTAGACGTGAACAAAATAACTCTGAGCAACTTCACAAGGCCACATTTACAATATCATCAAATGAAAACAAGTTACATTTTAATTCATTCCATCAAATTCCAAAAAGTTTCAGGAATCCAATCAATAAATTCAACCCATCTCAACTGGGGATAAGTCCAAAAACTTCATAGCAATGTTGAAATAAGGAAACAGCCAAGTAGATGAAAGTAATAAATCAACTTCTTTGGACCCCTAAAAAGCATATTGACTTCAATGTGATCAATTCTTAACACTCCCCCTAGAAAAATTTCCATATCCAGGCACCATCCCTCATGCATAGTTTAAGCGGAAAATGTCATTGAACACATAGAAGCTTCCTTGTGGTGTTGGCATCAAATGGAACATCTGTGCAAAAAAGAAAAGAAAGAACGAAAGAAAAGAAAAGATAAAGGTCAAGAACAAGCAAAACGGTGAGGCAATAATTACAGGGAGAGAAGACATGCTTCGTTATCAGAAAATAAATTGTTTTAACCCCAGGAAAATGCAAAAGAGAAGTCATACAAAGATGGGTTCTTTCAACCCAGTTGCTTGTGGCTGCCAGAAGCATTTTTCTTTCTAATCAAACAATGATGCATGCTCATTTACTGTATTGCTAAAACAACAGTGATCCAATAATTAGAATTTTTCATGACAGATCCAGCAAGTTTATGCATTTTGCATTTCTTTTTCCAATATCCATATTACAATGACGAGCAACAAAATACTTATTATATACTATTTTAAGAGAAATGGTTCCCAATTTGCTGGAACACAGAGAGCTCTGATTTATCATTCAAATGTCTCAACAATGTGCTTTTCAAATTAGTAAGATTGCTTCTTAAGAGCTTATATTAGTTGGCAGTATCTGAGCAAGTAGGAAACAAGAACACAGGTCTGTGGACCCATTTCGAGCTGCAAATTTATTTCTAGAACTTTACCTAAGACACAGACCTCTAAGTAAACCTAAAGCACTTGTGACTTCAATGGAAACTTCAGAAATTCGACCTTGTTTGCATCACTGCCCCGTGCACGAACATGACAGTGGCATAATGAATCCAACAGGCATTTAACTACTTAAATAAACTGACATGAAAAGATGAATTGAAATCTAATTTATGCCAGATATAACAAGTGTAATCCCCAATTATAAAGTTAAGATTCTTCTTTGCCTACAAAAAAATAAGAATGAAGAGGAGCATTCAGCCCTCTCTCCTTCCAACAATATCGAGAAAGAACATGGAAGAGGGAAAAGGCGCATGCAGCTACAACCACAAATATGAAGTCGAGTTCATGCATGCATCCAGTAGCAGATTTACATTCTGAAAATGAGACAACATGATGGTCAAAGTTTATTTGTCTCATAGTTTCCCACCTTCATAACCTGAGGTCACATGGCCTAGTTAGGGAAGAACATCTAATATTCTATTTTGTGTGAACTTGAACTATAATCTCAAAATTCAAGCACCTACACAGAAGGTCAATTATTTTGAAAAATATATTTTTTTGGAACTCCAACACCAACACCAATCCACAAGAAACTTATATTTCATACCATAGAATATTTCCTTGCACCATAGATAACTCAAATATTCGCTCGATAGTATATTTGCAACTTGCAAAATGCAAAATGCACGTCATGTACCTACTTCTGATGTAAACCAAAACTCTTTTCATTATTAGTGTGTCTACTGGAAGCTCCAAAACAACTAGATCTTCGTCAACAATTAAAATTATATTAGTTTTGGTCTACCCTCAGTAGTATATTTCGCACGATGCCACACCAAGAACCTACTTCTGATGTAAACCAAACTCTTCATTATTAGTATCTCTGCTGGAAGCTCCAAAGTCCAAAAAAAAAAACTGATCTTTGACAACTGTTAAGGTTATATTAGAATTTGGTCTACTCTCTCCTCTTGTAATCTTTTTTGCTAACAGTGCGTTACTTTTAGAAGGGGTGGTCTAGAGGGACAAGTTTCCCTCAACCATCGCATGATTAGTATCACCTATACTTGTACTCATATATTCACATTTCCTATCTTATTCATTAAAGTATTACTACACATTCAACTTTAACATTATTTTTATTATATTTATCTTCTTGATGCTTTGTCATTTTAAGATCGTTACTATAAAGGAATTGTTCTTCGTAACAGTCTTGTAATCCCATTCAACATTCCATGAGTGAAACATTCCAAGCTCTCCATCATATATAAGGAGGTCAGCATTTACACAGAAACCACTAATTACAGTATCTAGTTTTAATGATGCCCATCACACTCATCAATTCAATAAAATAATCCACAGTTCTTCATTTAAAACGTCATTTACTAGTGCAACAAGAGTTCCATTTCAACCAATGAACTGATGAACTAATTAACAATCTCTTATTGCAAATCAAGTGTCAATGAACAACCAATCAATTATTGCAAATCAATATTCAATGTATTGAAAAGTAAGCATGATTTCAACGGTGCAAATTGGAGCACGATTTCAACACCACAAAGCACACGTAAACAATTCATGCAATAAGCATAACGAATGAAAAAGTACCTGACTGAACTTGAGCGCGTGCTGTTCACCGGCGAGTTGGAGATTACCTGAGACGAAAACAAGCATACCGCCGGCAGGTCCAGATGGCTGACAATCAACGGTTGTGATCTGGTGCTTGCACTGCTGGAATGGCAGACTGGTGAGCTTCGCCACAATATTTTGCGATCCCATTATCTTCTGGCCCTCGAAGGTCAACATCGAACCTTCCTGGTACAGATTCGCAAGCCCAGATCGATTCGCATCGAACGTTGAATAGTAGTGTTCAACGAATGCCTTAGAAACTGCATCTGGATCCATCGTTTGAGGATTTGGGTTATCGGGTTCGATAGGCGGCGCCTCTCTCTAATCTGTATCTCTCCCCCTTGTTTTCGGGTGTTATATGTACAATGTGCAGAGCTTTATATATATATTTTTTTATATTTTCTTAATTAGTGTTTGCAAAACCAAAACGCTACAGTAGACCCGCCCACATGAATCTTCTAGAGGTGGATAGTTTGGTGATTTCCACTNTTTTTTGTTTTGTTTTTTTTTTTGGTTTCATTTTTTCTTTTTTTTCCCTTTTTTTTTTTTTTTTTTTTTTTCTTCTCTTTTTTGCATTTAAGTATCAAAAACATCACCGTTAACTCTTTTTGAAATGGGAAAATTAGGGTTGAACTATCAAATCTTGATAACGGATTTTCAATCTTTAACGATGAAATTTTAAGTTGTGGTAATTATATCAAATCAGAATTTTTAAGATTCAATTTCATAAATCAGATATAAATTTTTTTTAATACAAAAATCAGATATTAATTCAGATATTTAATATTATTAGTACCATCAAAATTCATCACAATCCCTAATTACCAAATTTAATCCAAATCCTAATATTCTCTCTCTCTCTCTTTCTCTCTCTCACCAATTGATTACCTCTCTCCCATTCTCTCTCGAGAAATCATAGTCCTCTCTATCACAAACACCGGAAGGGAGACCATTGTCGTTGCAGTGATGACACCACTGTGATGACCTGAACGACACTGCGACGGCGACGCTCACGCCACTACAACGCAGCGATCACTACACAATGTTGTAGCACCCATCCGCGCTACAATGCCGCAATGATGCTACATTGCAAAGCAGCTTCACCCTATCCCTGTTGCAGTTTGGTGGTGATGGTGGTACTATAGGTGGTTGGTGCAGGTGGTGGTGAATCTGGTAACAACGATGAGGTGGTTTTGGTTGTTGGAGTGGTGGTGGTAGTTTTCCATATTTTGGTGTCGTTGGGGGGTTTGGCGTGGTTTTTGTTGGTGGTGCATGTGAAGGTGCTGGAGGGGAAGGTGTATCTGGCGATGGCGATGAGGGAGTAGTAGTAGGACATGTTGACGGAGTGAGGGTGGATCTGGCTGTGGGGAGATCTTGGTGCGGTGGTTGGTTGCGGTGATGGTGGTGGTGGTGGTGGATCTAGCGGTAGCAGAGAGGTGTTAGTATAGTCGGATATGAGATTAGGCTTTTTACGATTTCACGTTATGAGATTCTGCACAAAAAATTCATCATAATTAGCTGCCGACTTAATTTGGTAAGCTTTGTTTTCCTAATTGAAGAAATAAGTAGAAAATAAAACATTGGGCTAAAAAATGGTGGTGGCGGTGGTGAAGGAGTGTTGGTTGGAAATGGTGGTTGTGGTGGCGACGGTGGCGATGGTGGAGGTGGCGACGACGACAGTAAGGTGATGGCGATTGTGGGGTGCCGACATTTTGGATCTGATTTGTTGGTGTGGTGGTAAAGTAACTGTTCTGATGATGTTTTAATGGTGGTCATGGTTACAAATGGCGGTGGTTGTGGCTGCGGCAACGATTGTGATGGTGGTTACTGCAGTGGTCACAAATTATTTGGTTGATTGAAACTAATAAATTGATCAATGCGTGATTAATAAATAATATGTGACCAATAAAACAAATAATTTGTGACTAATAAATAACGCATGACCTAAAAAATTGTTATGTATTGACTAATAATTTGATGAGTTGTGACCGAAAATTAATTTGTGATTAATTAATTACATATTTTGTGACCATAAAATAAGTTGCGACTTGTGAAATTTGTGACCGATGAATAAATTGTAACCTATAAAAATTTTGATTTATGATTGTGAAATAATTTGTGACTTGTAAAAAAATTTATTGTGACCGAGAAATAATTTGGGATCAATTAATTTATAATTCGTGATCGATAAATGAATTGTAACTTATAAACACTTTGATTCGTGACCGATGAATAACTTGCGACATATGAAAGATTTTGATTTGTGATCAAGAAATAAATTGTAACTTGTAAATTTTTATTTGTGACTGAAAAATAATTTATGATCTATAATTTTTTTTTTTAATTGTGATCGAAAAAAAAATTATAATCAATTAATTCGAGAATTTGTGACCAAATTATATGAAATTGTAACCATAATATATTTAATAAATAAAAAATATTTTTAGTTAATTATTTCATAAATAAATTTTAATAATTATCTAATTTTTGAAATTTTAAACATTTTATCTTAATTTTGAAATGAATAATAGTTAAACTCTTACTTATGAATTTTTCCCTTTTAAGTTCCTAATCTATTTAAGCAGGCACGACCTAGGCCCATGCCAACCAGGCAATGCCTCAAAATGAAAAACTTTAGGGGCCCAATCAAATTACGAATTGGTAACCAACAAATGAATTCATTTCTTAAAAGATCATTTAACTATAATTTTCATTGGTCGATTCTAACAAGATTAGACTTATCTAAAATATTTTTTTTCTCAAACTTAATACACATGATTAATTATGAACTACCAAATGAGACCAATATTTTTATGATAATATGGTCTAATTTGAAAACTAATATTATTCATTAAGTAATTTATTTTAATGTGTTATAACTCGAACTTAATTTATCCAAATTATCATTTTCTCCATCCTTAATGTGCCATTTAATATGATTTTTTAAAAATGAACCCAATATTGAAAGGGTAATTCTAGATCCTTAAAAAAATACACATTTAGCCTAAATTTATTATTGACCTAGAAATTTATTTTTACTTTAGTCCTTCAAGATCTCAAAGTTACTAGAAAGTTCTCAAATCAAAATCATCTTATGATCTTTCTCATCACTAAATAATCAATACGTCATGTAAACGTTTAAAAATGTAACTATCTCACTTTTTTGCATTTAGGGCCATCTCTTGTTTAAGCTTTGAAAATCATCCTTATGGTTATTAAAACTTTTGCATGACTTTCACTTTAGGTTTTAAACTTTTTAGAATTAGCTAAATAGCACCTTACTCGTGTTTTCCCAAATTGATAATTCCTGAAATTATTATTTACACTATGATAATATTTTATCGATGAACGATATAATTTTGCTAAATATTATGCTACCTTATTTTTCGAGTTCTCAAAAATAATTTATTTTGCTTCTCTATCTTTTTATTATACAAAGTTTTCGTTTAAAATATAAATATGTTATTTATTTATTAGACAAGTGGGATCCAATAACGACTATATTTTCAATATTAATTGGATTTTAATCACTCTCAAACATGCTCTCAAAGTTAGAATACAAAATCATGAGTTAATTATATCATTGATCAGAATCAATGTTCCGAGTTACCATGTAACAAATGAACTTTGAAATGTATCCTATTAGGACTAAGTATTCATGCATGTAGGCATGGCTATGGGCCAGCCGAGCCAGCTTGAGCCCATTGCCCACGAGATTTGACGAAGCGAGCTTGTGAGCTCAATCCGAGTTTGGACCACAAGCTTGCCTATTTTTTTTTAAGCCCTGTTTTTTTAGGTTTGAGACTGGCTACTTAATTTTCGAGCAGTCGAAGTTAAGATTGTACATGACCAAATGTTACATGTACATTTTTTTAAGAAAATATTATTAAGAAAGTAACAAAGTTTGATTATATGGCGAAATTAAATATTATTTACTTGACAACACACAATTTCGACATACTTATTTTGTACTCGAAAATGAGCGTCTTGTCAATTATTTACACACGTTAAGCTTTCCAAGATGTCATCTTTGAGTCGAATCCTAAAATTGGACAAAGTTTACTTACATTGACTAAAAGCATACTTCGAAACTACGGCGCCAACCAGATGTATTAGTAGATATTTTTACAATCACATAAACAATGGGATATCTACGTTCATGATGTCCCCAAAAATCAAGTACATCAAATTTCATTGTATCTAACATGTTTTATGTTCCTAAATATTTGATGATTAAAATATCTATTTAATTCAGCAAGCATTCCAGTTGGAGCTAGAATTGCTTCCGATGTCTGACTATATGCATGAACTTGCATCAATTATTTCATCCTCATTGTCAGTAAATAAATTCAATATTTCTTTATCGTCTTCTTGAAGATTAAACATTAGGGGGGTTGTGGAGGGTACCCAACTAACATTTACACCCAATCATTATTCATGTAATTCATACTTTGCAGTTAGCGTGTTCTCTAAATTAGAATAAGTGATAGGAGCAGCAAAATTTAAAGCAGTTGTGATTTTTCTAATAACGCATTTAGTATCTTTTAAATTATACTTAAGGTCCATTACGCATGCTAAAAGAAATAACGTAATCATGTTTTTCAAGTATTTTCTAAACTTTAGTTCCACAGAATACAATACTCCAGTAAAATTGGGATCATTTCTGTATTTATTAAAAGTTCTTGCAATAAAAACAAAAAAGTTCAAAAATTCTAGAACTAGTGGGATAGTATGCCTAGATAAGATGGTTGTAGAAATATAAAATCTTGTCAAAAATCTTCTAACTTTAAAAGCTAATTCCCAATCAGTATCACTCAAAAAAGGCTCATCATCATTTCTTGTATATCTAGAATTATAAAATCTAATAATTAATACTTCATATCCTTCACATGATTTGAGTAATAAGTATATCGAGTTCCATCTATACCCTATGTTGGTTACAAATTGTTTGGATTCCATACCAAAATGGGCACAATATTCTTCGAATGATTGTTTTCTACTTGTTGACACACACACACACACAAAAATTAAATTAAAGATGTGACATACACAACAAACATGAAATAGAAAACCATCGAAATCAGGATTAAGAGCCCTACACAATTTATCAATAGCATGCTTATGAACACTAGCAATATCTAACGTAAAAGAGCGAATTTTAGATTCGCAACGATATTTTTTTATAATTTGCATAAAAGCGTTAAATATGTTGTTAGCATTGTAAGAAAACTCAATTATTTTAAAAGTAATTATTCTTTCATGCATAATCCAAAGTGAGTCTATGTAATGTGTCATTGCAACTATATAACTTTTTTTTTTATTAATGCATGCCCATAAACCAGGTATAAAAGATATAATACCACCATATTTTTGTAAATCATGTATCATTTTTTTTTGTATTTAATGAAAAAACAAATGCAATTAGAACGAAGAGTATTTCTACTTATCCCAATGTATCTTGGTTGAAGATATTCTTTTACGAATTATGTGAAATATTCGTTGTCCACTATACTACATGATAACTCAGCTTTGACAAAGAACTTCACCATTCCTTTTTAAGAGTATTTTCGTATAAATATATCCATGTACTAAGTGTTGTAGACTTGCTACCGGGAGAAGGAGTACCAAGTTGCAGTTGTATTTGTGTTTCACCAACAAGCATATGTTTGGCCGTACGTTTCACGTAGTGACAGTTAAGGTAGGTAGTACGGATTATCTTTCGTCATGCCAATCTTGTTTGAAGATATTTGCACACTATTTTACATTCTTGAACTCCGTTGACAATACAATCCGTTGAAACCAATTTCAAGTGTTCTCAACACTTTGTAATTTTTTTATCATTTCGCTTCCTTCTTGCATCGGGAATTTTGAGTTCTGATTTTGCAACTTCTTCATCGATATCATCCAAATCAATAAAATGACTACTCTTGTGAGCTTCGTCAACGCCAAATTCGAAAAATTGTTGAGAATGAGGATGTCGTTGAGACTAAAAAATTCATTATAAAATTGAGATTGTGGCATTATAGATGAGTTTCCACCGAACAAGCTCTCAACATAAAAACTGGGATCCATTTGTATATAATAGAATGAAAATGTATAAAGATGAAATATAATTATGACAGAGAATGTAAATTAAATAAAGATGAAATGTAAAAATTGAATAATGTAGAATGTAGAGAATTGAATTGAGATTTAAATTGTATAATGAAATGTATAAAGTTGTAGAATGTATAAATTGAATTGAGATTTGATTGAGTGAATAATTTGATTATAGTGAATATAGAAGATATTTGTAGAGATTTTGTGTGAAAAAATGGATTGAAATGAGGAGTCTTTATAGAGTTCGGAAAAAAATTAGTGCCCAACAGTCACAATTTAAAGTTTTGTGACCATTGTAAAAAGGTCATAAAACTAAATCGACGAGCCACAAGCTCGCCCAACTCGACCTCAGCTCGTCATTTAAAAATCCTTGTCAGATCGTGCTTGGACTATTCTCGAAATGAACTCAAGCGGCCCATGGTTCAAGCATCGATGAGCCAATCCGGAGCTATTCGTCTCATTTGCCATCCCTACATGCATGTTACCCATTCGTCACTCCAAATTTCATTCCATCCCTTTGACGAAACTGCCAATAGACAATGTGGCACCATTTAAATGCTGAATCAGGCTAAATCAGCAAAACACCTCTTCGAAGATCAGTTGAAAATTGATTTTTCCTCTATGAAATATAAATCGGTCAATCATTTCCAAATCAATAACATGCGACCTTAGAGTAGTTCCTGACCCCAAATACTGTCTTCAGAATGCTACAGTCGTAAGGTTCTTCCCAAATTGTAGAAGTCACAATGTTTCTTTGTGGACAAATCTCAAATCCAAAGACCTCTTGAAACGAGAACAACTCTGGCGAACGATTTTGGGATGCAATTTGTATGGACGTTAAGATGCATGCAATTTTTCGTTGGTTAGGTTGATCCACCTCTTTTTTCTAAGGTACAAACTCCATTAATTAATGGCATCCTTTGAAATCTAACAACCGTTGGAAGGAAATACAATTCTATTAGTTTGGCTATTGGGCACTTCTTGTTTATGTTACGATAAGTACAGAGATTGACGACAAAATTACATGGAGGTTTTGGCTAAAACTATTGGGGTAATTGCCAATGGAGAGTGCTAATGGGATGTGGTTGAAGCCTTTGGATTGGCCTAATTTTATTTCTATTTGTTTTACAATTACTTATGGGAAAATTACCCAAAATCCTACATATAAAGTATATTAAAATTATCTAATTAAATATGTTTAAAATTATCTCCATAACAGTTATCCCTCTCATTCTCTCTTCAACTCGTCAACACCAAGTTCTCCTCTCTCTACCATACACGAACACCACGTCTCGCTTGCTACCATACACGAAGGTTGTGCTTTCTCTACAATACACTAGTCTTCAAACCCTATTACGCTCAGATATCACTGTGATACTTCTTCATACACTGGCACCTCGCATAAACTCCATATCAACATTATCACCCGAAGTCTTCCCATAAAATCATTGTATTATAGTTTATTTTCACCCTTATAAGTATTTAAAATAATTTTAACTCGTATTGTTGATAAGAAAATGGAGAAAGAGAAAGGAAAAATGAAGAAAGATGTTGAAGAATCTTCATCACCCAAGAGAGTAAAGATGTCGACATCCGACAGGAAATAGAATACAAAATTTGTATGATGAAAAAGTTCTGCATAATTATCATGTATTTAAAAGGAATCAAAGAAATGGTCAAAAACGAAATATATAACTCTATACAGCCCCGTTCTCCTACCCCCAGTGGGTAGGAGAAACTTTACCCACTGCTTATGTGGCATTTGCCACATAAGCAGTTGACAAAAATGAAATTCAAACCCCTCCCCTAGCGTAGTTACCCGATTATTCATGCGTAAGTTTATTAATAAAATATTGGAAAAAATTATATGTTTCTTTAAATAGCGATAACTCGAGCTTACATAGTTGGAAAATATTTTTTTTCGAGCCTAACATACTTTATTTAACGTGGGCTTTAAAATGAGACAAATGTCGATATACTTTTGACATCTTTAAAAATACTTTAATATTTGACTCAACCCTAGTGGACAATAAAAAAAACATGATTTTGCTAATTTTCTTATCGTCAATAGATTACATAGCAAAAGAACCGTGTTATCATCAATAGATTATATAGCAAAATAACTTAAACACAAAAAGATTGATGGTAAAGCTAATTGAACCACATGCCATGATCTTCGACTTCATCAACAAATATGATAACTTTGTATTTTTCCAAATAAATTAACAAAATATATCTTTTGCCGACAGAAATATTAGAATTTGTAGGTTAACTATTAGGGTGTGTTTGATGAATATTATTGAGGAATTAATGTATTTTACATAGTGATATGATGAGAAATGTGTGATTAAAAAGTAAGAAAAAGTTATTGATGTTATGAAAAATATTCTTTTATTGAAAAATGTGTTGTTGAAAACGAGTTTTGAAAAAAAGTATTTTGAAAGAATATTTGTCAAACAAGAACTTAACGAGAAAAAATTTCGATTATTATATTTCATTTTTCCATACAAAATATATATTTGAAATTAAAAGAGAATAAAAGAAAAAACAACTTAACGGTTCTTTTGCTATGTAATCTATTGATGATAAGAAAATTGGCAAAATCATATTTTTTTATTGTCCACTAGGGTTGAACTATTGTTGATAACACGGTTCTTTTGCTATGTAATCTATTGATCCCAAGAAAATTGGCAAAATCATGTTTTTTTATTGTCCACTTTTTTTGATTCATATATTAAAGTATTTTTAAAGATATCAAAAGTATATTGACATTGGTCTCATTTTAAAGCCCATGTTAAATAAAGTATGTTAGGCTCGAAAAAAAAATATTTTCCAACTAGTTAAGCTCGAGTTATTGCTATTTAAAGAAACATATAATTTTTTCTAATATTTTATTAATAAACTTACGTATGAATAATCGGTTAATTACGCTGGGGGAAGGGGTTTGAATTTCATTTTTGACCACTGCTTATGTGGCGTTTCTCCTACCCACTGGGGGTAGGAGAACAGGGCTGTAACTCTATAAGCAAAAGTATTTTACTATGAATTCAATTGTGGATGCTGTGACCTTTCTACCCACTTTTCCAATCCAAATCCAATTTGAAATACTTCCATAAGTAATTTAGTACCTGATTGATGCCATTAGTTGGTCAAAACAATGTTTTCAATAGTGAAATTTTATCGAAAGTTGGACGACAAAATATAATTCCTATTTGACAATCATTATTTTGAGTAAATGAAGTTTTGAATAATGATTTTTTTGAGAATATATGATTAAAAATTATGATATTTTTTAAATTTACGTATAAAATATTTTATTATATAAATACGTGTGGCTATAAACGAAACATGCGGATGGAGAATCCATGAAATAGTGGTTGTTAAATAGGGTTTAACCCCATTATTTTATCGTAAGCAAGCCCTGCTCTGCTCTCGCTCGCTCCGCCTATCGCCGCCGCTGTCTCTATCTGGATTCTAGAAGCTGCGCGAACGGCAAAAGACTGGAGGAACTGAAAAATGCCTGGACTAACTGCACCTTCTGATTATTCACAAGAGCCACCTCGCCACCCTTCCCTTCTCATTAATTCCAAGGTTCGGAATCAGAATTCATCTCTCTCTCTCTCTCTCTCTTAGACGTATTCCTAGATGCAGCCTTGATCGTGCAGACATTCAGAAATTCGCTTATAATGATCACAGTTTTAATTTGTTGAAAATCAGTGGATTGTTTAATGCTCTAGTACAGTGACAAACTTGAAGCTTCAAGTGGATTTTTCGTTAATTTTGAAGAAATATTTCCAATTCTTCAACCGTTGAAAACAGATAATTGGAGTTTCTTGAATCTTATTGTTTGAATATGTATATTGAACATTTTTTCCTACTGATAATTGTCCCAAGTCCAACTTCAATAGGCAAGAATGTAAAATTATATGTCCGAAATTCTCATTCTTAAGTAGTTATGATTACTACAAAAGATGGCAATGTGATTCAATACGTTAGACAATAGAATGTCGCTTTTGAAATGAAATTTTCATTTTGACAATTTTTTATGTCAATTATTGCTTTGTGGGCTCATTGCTCAATAGCGTAAGAAATGTTGATTGGTGGCCTTTTGGTCCAGGAGCCCTTCAATGCTGAACCACACCGTTCAGCTTTGATTTCGTCTTACATTACGCCAGCAGATTTCTTCTATAAGAGAAATCATGGGCCAATTCCAATAGTTGATGACATAGAGAGGTCCAGCGCCTTCCCTTTTTCACGAATACGTCTTTTTCCAATCTTCATCTTGCTGAAGTCACTAAATTTCATATGACTAACAAAATCTATTTGGTTGAGCAGATATAGTGTTTCTGTAACTGGTCTAATCGAGAACCGAAAAGAGCTGTACATGAAAGACATTTGGTGAGTGATATAGATTATCAGTTTTATGCCTTACCATGTCATTGTTTATCATCTTCCAAGATTGTTTGAATTTTGGACTTATATTGCTTGTCAATAACAGGAAGCTACCCAAATATAATGTTACTGCCACTTTACAGGTATCATTGTTCTTTAAGAATTATTTTTTGTTTATAGAGCTTAGTTTTATCTGCCTCTACGTTTGGTAAGAGGTATGGATCAAGAGAAGGATTATTTGCGTTTCTTTTCGGTGGCATGGAAACATTCTAGGGAAATTATTGGAAGGTTGCATTACATGAGAAATTTATGCCACTGAGTAGATGGTGAAGTTGTTAAGTAGTATTAATTTTGAAACACGGAAATGAAGGTTGGACATGACATGATACACCATGTAATTTTCAAAAGATTAAGTGATAAACGTGTTGATTAAAATACTTCTAAACGCATACAGTCATATAGTGTATCTTGATTTTTATACTTTTTTTTTCCTCAATATATTTCACTCTTTTTTAACTTGATTATGAATTTTGCTAGAGAAATCTTTTGGGAAGTGAGTATTTGTCGTATCAAGATTGCTTTTGAGTTGGAATAAAGTTTAGTTTGGTTTGGTTGAGATAGAGATAAATGAATGAGTAGCTCCCGAGTCTATAAGAACATATGCACGTAATTGAGATATTGATAGAATACCTGCCATTACGTTCGGATCTTGCGGTCTGTTCTTGGGTTAAAGCAAAGACTTTGACTTTTACTTTCTTGCCCTGTTCATAGTCTTTCTTAGGTAGGTATTCCTTGCAGTCCGGGGCAAATGGCCTTGCAACCATATCGATAGCATGCATTTTTCCCAAACTAGCAATCTCCCATGGTTCTTGTTGCATTATGGCATGGTCGAGTAACTTTGTTTGGTTTACTTGTTCTTGATCCCAATTTTCTATTGGTCTTCTTAAATTGTCCAAATCTTTTCACTTTATTCGATCTATTCTACTTTCGTTTCCTATATGATTCATTTAGTTGCTCAATCATCCGATCCATTTCCAGACGATAAGAAATTGACTGAGCCCGACTGAGCCCATTGAAATACTTCACTATAGGTAGTGTATGGTGAGATGCCATGATTTCTCCTATCTCTGGACACAACCCTAGTTCGAACCTCTTAGCCTTGGCTCGATGTCCACAAGGTATGTGGCATACCTAGAAAGTTATTTGAACTTCTTTTCATAGTCGTCACGCGACATGTTTCCCCACTTCAGTTGTTGGAACTCTGCCTCCCTACAATCCCTTAGAGATTGGGAAAAATACTTTCACCTTTTCCTTTGAATTGCGCCCAAGTTAGTGCATGCCATGTGTTTATAGATTCGTTCCAATCCTCTTAACCACTCCTCGATTGTCAAAGGGCTTGCTTTGCCTTTAAAAGGTGGTGTGAAATGGTGAAACTGCTCCACAATTGAACCCATGTTGTTGGCATTTGCCGGTCCATTTTGAGGAGGTATTGGTGCTTGATTCCTACCAAAGTCGTGCACCACCCTCATTAGATTCCTAAACATAGCAAATTGGTCTTGTTGTCATGCCATTTCCTTTACATCAAAGAAAATTAAATTGTCTTAGAAATATTGGACAAAGTAGCTCAATATGTTCAAAAGGAAATTGTAATCTTATTAATAATACTCTTTGAAATCAAGATATACAATAATTCGACTAATTTAAATCCCAATAACATAGAGAGAAAAATATCACAGAACAAAGGAAATAAAATATAAGTTTCTAAGCCCTATTAACCCTGCGAGTCTTCTGTGGTGGAGCTTTGTCCTCGGAGGAGTCTTGTGCCTCAGGCCCGAACTCTATGTCCGTCTCAACTAGTGGCTCAGTTTTTGGCTCAAGACCATTCTCTAACTCAAACTCAAAGTCATCTTCATGCTCCGATTTGGGCTTTTCCTCTGGGTCCTATTTAAAATGAGGCTCTGGTTCCACCTCATCATTATGCGCATCTTCGGGTGGGTTTCTAGGGTCTCACTCTATACAAGCTGAACTCAATAATGTTTGGGTGCTCGTAACCATAACTCCCATGTCTCCCCATTGAGGTGGAAGTTAGTGTATGAGATTATTTACAGCCTCGATAGGTGTGATCTCAAGTCTTGCGTCTACTGTTGCAGTCCACCTCACAAAGATGTCTCCTACATGCTCGACAAGTGAAAAAGTCGGGACTGTCACGTAATTTTCATAGGACTAAATGATCTACAGTTCAATGTTGGTCTACAAGTTGTTGTCTTTTTAGTAATCTAATAAATTCTACTCATGTCCGTTATATAAGTGTCTAATTATGTTTTATCTTTGTTAGTGATACCACTTTATACATTATGCTCTTGTGATTTTAATATAACAACTAATCATTATATCTTCATGTATATTAAAACAAAATAATAACATGCATAACATATTTCATTCTAAACATCATAATCATTTCATGAATTTAAGCTTAAATGATTCATTAACCATGCTTGAAAATAAATTGAAACATAATATTTCATTCATACCTCGGGTTCTTCGGACGGTAGTAGTTTGACGAGAGTTAAGTGCCAATGGTCTTATTTTAATACTTGTTTAAAATCTCTTAATGTATAAATAAGTAAATAAGTAAAATAAATAGACACTTATTGACATATACCTAACATTAAAATAATAATAATAATATTATTATTATTATTGTTATTATTATTATTATTTTAATTGTTCATTTACTAACTGGTTGTAATGTGTAGTCCTAAATTAGGGTGAACCAACCAATTCCCAATACTGTTTATTATATATGAAACGAGCATGTAACTTTTTTTAAAGCATTAGACTTGTATTTACAATATTTTGAAATTTGAGACTCTTCGAACTTGTAAAATCCCATAGAAACACGAAGTAAGTGTTGACATGGCAATAACATCTTGGACGTGATATTAGAAGTGTTTATGAAGTTATGCGGGAAAATTTAAGGAAATCTCTATAGTAATCTCTTATCTTAGTTATTATACACCCCAATAAATCAATACATAAATAATACAGAAAAAACATGATAATCATACACATAAATCACGTTTGCACATAACGATATTTGCACATAATGACAAAATAATTTATTTTTTAGTCTATAGAAAGGTAAACTTAGGCTCTGATACGAAACTGTAATGCCCCAAATCTAGTACAATTTTTTTTTTAAAAAAAAGATTTGGGGTGTTATCAAAATTTTCCTTACCTAATTTATGTGAAATTGAACACTATTATACAATTTTTGGGATTTGATCGATAAATCGATAATGTTAATTCATCAACTTAAAAGGTGAAATTTTCATATATAATCAAGTCTTAAAATACTGTGATATTTGTTAATAACATCAACGGAGATTATGTACAGCTTATATTATCATAATTATGGAAAATTTATAGTTACTGTAGACAGCTTAACCTTAGTTGTATGTATGTAATCCTTTTTCTATATAATGCTAAGGATCCCAAACGGGAAAACCATTATGCTAAAAGATTGTTAGGGTATCAAAGCCTACCTCTGAAATTGTGGAGTCTTGGGTTTCTTTTGTTGGTCATTGCTGAAAATTTGGTTCTCGAAAATTTTAGTGCTTAGGTCAACCCATCTCTGGTCGACATTGTTGCCATCTGTGTGCGATGATGGTGGTCGTGTGGTTGCAGTATTTTGACTCCTCTTGGAATCGGCGGCAAGGTGTCTAATTTCATCATCAACGGTGGGAATCGATTCTCTGTGGTTGAGTTGGTTGGGGGTCGGAGTTTTCTTTGAGAGTCTTCGGTGTCTCTGTAGGTGATTGACACGATTTTCGGCATCTCCGTGTGTGCGATCGTGTGATCGGCGTCTCGCTTTTCCAGTGTCTTGGTGATCAATGCGATTGTGTGTTTTGTGTGAGGCCTACGATTGTCTGGGCTGTGTAAGACTATTATTTGAAATGCGCTAGTGTTGCGTGGATTGTGGAGGCCTATTATTTAAAGTGGGTCTATTACTTGAAGTGGGCTTTTGTTGTGTAGGTTATTTTTTTTGTTTGGAGTTGATTATTTACGCTCTTTCACTACTGGTAAGGAGATGTGGGAGTACTTAAAGCACATTTATTGTCAAGATAATGTACGGAGATTTCAATTGGAGTTAAAGATTGCCAACTATCCTCAAGATAATCTTACTATTAATTAGTGTTTGATGTAGTACATCACAACTACA